GAGTTTGAATAACCTCAGGTTGGGGAAGTGGCACAGCCCAAGCCTCCCACTTCATGGGACCATTAAGTAAATAACAGGTACCAACACTACCTCTTTGTCTTATATTTTTAAGTAAACTTGCCAAAGTTGCTACGTTTTTGCGCTAAACTCAATGCTGTATTTGTTAAGTATGTTTTGAACATACATAATAAATAAGGCCCTTTGGGAGATTTTGGTGCTATTCCATCTAGTTTCTGGATCTAAAATCGAGCTTAGACAGGAACTAGGTGCCCAGCTGTTCAAAGACAATGCTAGGCATACAGAGAAGGCAAGTCTGCTGGCATCTACAGGTTTTTACTAATGAAAAATAAAGGTCCCTAATGTGCTTAAGCACCCGGCTGAACATAGCAGGTCATTGGATTTGGTTTTTGGATTTGGGAACCTTAAGTCTGCCTAAGTCATATTTTAGTCATATAGGTCCTTCTTAGACTCTGGCCCAGATTGTCTTGGCCGTGATATCTGTATCGATTTTGGGGGGGTGGGTGAAGAAGGGCCTAAAGCATGACTGCCCAATTAATATAATTCCATTTTGATTCATTACCCAGTTCTAAATCAAATTACAAAGACAGGATTGCAGATATTGGCTGCACTGAAGGATTTCGGTCCCTGGATCCATGTTACCAACCTCTCTCTCAAAACAGGAAAATGACCTGCCTCAAATCCCCCCAAAACTAGCTACTACACATAAACACAGAAAAAAAATCACACATCCTGAAACAAATCTACAGTTCAGTTCTACATATGTCTTATAAATCTGTGCCAAACTAAGCTTCAGTCCAAACATCCTCAAATTCTCTGGTGCTGGAAAATTTAGATACATCTGATTCCTTGGTCAGTTATCGGTCAGAACACAGCTCAGTTTCATAGTGTTTCCTTACACAGGCAAAATCTGGTGTTAAGTAATAAGTATTTATATAATATTTCTGATATAAGCATATCCACATGCTTCTCTTTTCAGTGTCAATGCAAATGCCCCATCTGTTGAAAAAAACAAATGCCATTGTCTGTTTGTTTATTATTTCTAATGGGCTCATACATTTACACGCTAACTTGATCTGTATCACAGTAAAACAAACCACAATACATTGTATTAAATAGGTATTTAGCTATTCATTTTCCAAGCCAAGTTTGGCACACTGCAGAGAGAACATTGTGAATGAGGTATTCAAATAATAAGTTTAATTACCTCTGACAGATCTGACTTATTCTTATTACCAGCATTGCGATACAGACTAATGCTGGGAAATCTTTCCAACGGGCTTGCCAGAAGTGAGGAAAAACCTGTCTTGTCTAGAATTGGCTAGAAACTCAGCTAAACAGCTTGGCTTCATATTCATGTAGAAAGACTCCACAATGATAATGAGAAGTGGATAGCAGCAATTCATGTCTTAGAAAGAGAAGTTTATATTCAGCTTCAGGAAATTATTTTAAAATATCTTGGACCAAAATTTCTAGTGTCTTCCATCAGTTTTACATTGGTGCAATTCCATCTATTTCAGAAATACCGTTTATGCCAATCTGTCTACTATTTCCTAGTCAAGGTATTACAACAATTCACATAGACATTCCTGAGCTAGTTTTTAACTAGGTACCTCAAGTACTGACAGCAGAGTAGCAGGGACAACATCAATGGAGCTCAGGATGCAAAATCTAACAAAGAAGCTTGGTAAAAATATGTAGGCAGTGAGCGAGAGGCTACAACAGATAACCCTTTATCAGAAACCTAGTTCAGGGCCAACCTAAGTACATCGACTAGAACTGCATTCATACCATGAAAGCAAATAGAATATGGGACTTTGTATTTAGGTTGTGATTTTTAAAAAGACAAGTTTTTAAATTTATCGCAATCATGCAGTTGGTACAATAAAAGATGGCACCCACAAAAACTCTTGCCTTTCTCATATTTCCTGGAAGAGCATCACTTCAACGCTATTAAAGTTTATTGAAATTCAAGGACATTTTGACACCTAATTCTTTTAAACACATTTGAAAATCCTAGTCTTAAATTTGTTCTGGTGTCATTCCAATCTCAGCCTAGAAACCCAGCTTTGAAAATTTCATCTTATTAAAAATGACCTAGAATATGTAATCTTCTTTTTATTGATAAAAGATGTAAAGCACAGGTAACTACATCTGAGTTTCTCCATACTACCCCATCAGTTTGCCTCACCTTTATTGTGCATGGATGAAATGGCATGAACAGTATAAATTTCCCAATTAATCCTTGACCTCTCTGCTGCCTAAAGGGGAAACAAATGCAATGTAAACAAGTGTAACAATGAATGCAAATTATGATAGTGGTATATGCTGTACTGACATCAAAATGCTGGGGACTGGACTGATACTGCAAATATTTTATGTAGGAGGCTATTAAATTGCTAAACGATTAATGGTTTTTTAAAACCTCTAACTCAGCCTTTTTTTCTGAAGTTGGCAGTTCTTTTCTTTTAGGTTATCAGGTAGAAATCAAGTGGGCTTGAAAAAGGTGAAGGAAAAGGTGATTGTGAATTTTTGTGCTTATTAATGCCTCATCTGTTTCATGCTACAGTTTTTAAAGGGAGTTGATTCTGACAGTCAGAACATTCCCTTCATGGCTACGTGAACCACAGTAGGTTTGTTGTCATGCTTCAGTTTCAGACATTATCATTTTCTGTATTTTTTTTATTTCCTCTTCATTACTTCTCAAGTCCCTTGGCATCTCAGGATTTTTCTTCTCTACACTTTATCAAGTCTCAGACATCTAAGAAAAATAGTTCATCAATTCCAAACTCTCTGGTTAATCAAGTCTACAAACTGTCTACATAACTGGCCCGTGTTCCTAAGTTAATTCACAAAATCATTAGCAATCAAAGTTTCTATGAAACTATCATTTTAAGACAATGAAGACTAACAGTTAGTCTAGTTATTAAACATTCTGATGTAGATATGTTTCTATCCACTGGTTTATTGATTTGTTAAGATTTTATATGGATATGAAACCTCTTAATAACTTTTTTTTTCTATGAGGTATCATGAGATCTATTCAATAAACTGTTACAAAATCCACTCCTGTTTGAAAGAATTACTGTGTAATATCTCCAGAATTAGGGTATATGTGAGAGAGAAAGTTTGCAACCAAACAGCCATAATCTTGACTCTCACCAAAAAGAAAAAAAAAAGACAGGAAAAGATGTATGCAGTCTCTGAATCAGAGCCTCATTTGGGTTTTGTCAGCTGGTAGGCAGGGGGAAAGATCTATGTAGCTATCTGTACTTAGCCCTTAGACCATCTTTTTGTTATTAATTTGAATATTTCACTTAGCATATGACTGGAATTACTAGGCATTGTTATAAGAGAAATAATTAGTTACCTATAACAACAAATTATATTTCTTTTACTAGTAGCCGGAGTGCTATATTTATATCTTTTGAAAATCAGTCGTGATAAAGTTTGTGTTGGGAAAAATGGGAGCTATTAAAATACATCTACCCAGCTATTTACCATATTTACTCATATACCATGCTCCCCCAAAATCTTCTTTTCTTTTAGGAAGGAAAAATATATTTCCCCCCACCCTGCAGAATCTTAACTGCCACAGCATTAGCTAAACATGGCTGAGGGCTGGGGTCCACTCCTCAGCATCACTCAGTCTCTAGCTGCAGCAGTACAACTATTGCTCAGCGATGGTAAAAGGGTTCAAACTAACTCTCTCCCTGAAAGACTCACTTCACTATTCCCTCCTGAGCTAGGAGAGAAGCATGAGATGTGGCAACCATTACATGTTTCAGTTTCAGGGCAGAAATTCAGCTTCCCTACTTAAGGCATCCACCTGAATTTTGGAGGGCTTATTTTTGGGAAGAAGGTAAGTGTAGTATGCAAACTGAGTAAGAGTACTTTTGCTTACGCAGAATCTGATTTTTGTTTTGGTTCCTATTTTAATTCTTGTTAAGATTAGGTTCCCTAAAAAAAGTAGTGAAATGTTTTATTTGTTTTTGCAGAATGGATGGATGCAAAAAACCCTTCTTGCTTTTCACTCGAAAAATTAGAAGAGTAACTGGCTGTTACAATCTTCTAATAAAAAGTTTAATATTGATTCAGTAGACTTTTATTAGATATTGGCAGCAGCCTGCTGTAATTTAGTGATGATTTTGTTACACTATGCCAAACAATTACACTAAGCTAGATTCTTTCCTACCCTTATGTGGATGCCAAGTATATGTGGGAGCACACGTACATAGTGGCTCTTCCTTTTTAGTCTTGTCTAAGAACCATCCAAAATTGCATCCAGAGTAGTGCATGGGTACTCCTGAGATGTTCCCAGTGGAGGTGCTCCTGAGATACTCTCACACGTGTTGCCTATGGTCCAATTCTTACTTTTTTTAAGCCATGGGGGTTAAGCAAATGAAATATATATGGTACAGGAAAGATTTTGTGTAATATAAATAAATGGTATCTCAAAACATTATTCAAATGAGCATCTACAACTTCCAAATATTCATTGTGACAAACAAGTTATTGGGTTACTGGCCTCAACACCAATGGGTTAAATCACAGGCTTAGGGCTGAGAGAACTATTTAATTCAAACACTGGCACAAATACAATTGAAAATTACAAATTCTAATTACACTATATGCAACTGGAAAGAGCATTTAATGGGTCTGGTATTGAGAGACTCATGAATTTCAAAGAGAAGAGGCAGTTTATTTTTACTTAAGTCAAAGTTTCATAATCACAAGCTTAGATAATGTACTAAAATATTGGTTTAGGCATTCCACACTCAACAAGGCTTAACCTATACACAGATCCATGCCAAGTTATGCATGCCTACATTGCATACTGGAGCATAGTGTAGAGAAATACATAAACTAGCTTTAAATAAGCTCCATAGAGCTCTGTCTGGGTTCATTAACCCTCCCAAAAAGTAGTTGCCCTAGCTTACTCACTTAAAGTTATTTTGAGGTATCTCTCTGCAGTGTACACATCCTCCTAGGCCAGGTACAGACACTGCATTTTTACTGTTAGGATACTGGTCTATACCTGTAACAGAACAGAACACAAAACCAGTCTATACCCATAACAGAACAAAAGTTTGGCATGCATAAACTGGTTTAAAAATGGCGGAACCCATCTAAGATTTGCTGCTCCTTTCCCTTCAAAGGGCAAATGCATGTTGTGTTTTCTACCAATCTAACTTATGCTGCTTAACTTACTTCAATTCTGCCTTGAGCTTTATGAATATCTGCACCTAGCCTTATAGCCCAATCTTAACTGCTGTGCAGCATTTGCTGATTGTATAGAAATCAACAGTTGCTCAAATTATTCAGCACTTCTCACTACCTATGCTAGGCTTTGCTGAGTCATCTAATTATTCAGTTATAAAAATATGGAATTGCATATATATAATCATACAGGCACATGCCTATAAACTCCCATGTAAGTACCAGCATAGGTGGCAGTTGGCCAGAACTAATGGGGTTAGGCCCCACGCAAATGCAGGGCAGCGGTGGTGGTGCAGAGGGCTGCAGGGCAGCCCAGGCATGGACTCCAGGCAGCTGCGGTAGGGGATGTGCACAGACACAGCCGCATAGCCAGGATTGCAGCCCGGGTGCTTGTGGAACACTTCTAGGGTTACTATACATCCAGGTTTTCCCAGACGAGTCCTCCTATCTCCATCCAGGTAGGTCTTTCAAATCTGGCCCAGCACCCCGGTCTACAGTGGCATCCCGCCTCTGCCCTGAGCACAAAGCTGGGGTCACATTGCAGATAGCTTTAAGTGAGTAACCCAGAGCCTCCCCCAGCCTTGGGTCCCAATTCAACCCAGCCCCTGCCTCACTCTGGGGTCCTTGATCTTCTCCCCCACACCCCTTCCCCTCCACATACTTACCTGCTAGGCGGCATGCATATGTATGTGCATGTCCTCAGCCTCTCCCCCTCCCCCCAAATATTTTCTCCCTCCTCCTATGGCCAGTATTTAGACTGACTCCATCACTGTAGTACCAGATAAGTGGCTCATTTACATATACACTAAGGGCATTTACTCAGAAAAATACTAAATTACATGACTTTTTTGGTGCATTTAGCTTTAGTACTGAATACATTTCTATCACTGAAAGCACTTAAACAATATGCTCTGTTTTCCTGCATTAGCTGCTAAGTGTACAGATCTCATTGCCTGTCATTAAAAAAACTCCACAGAAAGCACAAAACAAAGCAAGCTACTCTGTTTTGTATTGCAAGAAGCAATTTGCATTAAGTTGAAGTTTACACTATATTATTTATAGCACATATATTCACATATTTACATGTGAATGCCTCATTTCCTTCATTACATGGCCAGGCTTATTTGTAATAGAAAAGGTTTTCAAGAACTGCCCTTTTACTAGCCATATCCAAAAACCAGAGGACTAAACTGGAAAACTGAGTTAAGGCTTTCAACTCTATCACCCCAAAAATGATTGTTTTCATATTTTCACCTCCTCCAAACAATAATGATGTTCCTATTAAGGGAGGAAAGTCAAGCTGTCACTTAGATGGTAATAGG